CAGCCAATCTTTTCTTTCAGTGTACAAATATATATATATATATATATATATGTATGTTATTACAATGTAATAATAAAAATTTTTTTATTGTAAAGAGCTTTTTTGTATTTTTTAACTACATGCATAATTAAAGTAAAATTTTAAGTACTTGTATGTATATTTCTTTATCTATGATCTTTTTGTCAAATAAAACTATAAAGCAAAGATGAATTTTTTATTAGAAATTTGAAGTTGAGAAAATTAAACCATTGTGACAATTAAATCACTGCGTATGCTGTGCAACTCACTTTTTTAGAATTAATATAATAAGCATTGTACTTCACAGTAAAGATGAAAGTAGGCAAAAAATGAAGAAGAAATTTAAGGATCATATTCGAATTATACTTTGATGTAATTAATGTACAAAGCTGTAATAATAACAAAATTCCAAATTATTAAATAAAGTTAATTTTATTTTGCATGAAATATATAAATAAAAAGGATTAAGTCACCTGTACAAATAAAAAGGAGCACAGTAGAGTATAGAAGAATATAGGTTTAATTTGTATGCACTTTGTTGTCTGAGATGGCCATAAGCCAAGACTACACAAAAGAAACATGTTGACTTTATAGTATCGTCTTCCAATAAAATCCATCTTGCACTCTGACACGACTATATTCATATGAGAGGGACTCGCTGTCTTTTCAGATACATTAGAAACAAGTACTCTAAAGAGTGCTTTTTTCTTTAGAGTTTCTTTTTTCATAAAAATGGCAATAACAAAATAATTGATAATGACTATAACTAAACAATTTTCTAAGTTGATATCGTACGAAAAGAATAGGTGCGAAGTAAATTGCTAATGTAAATTACCTTAATGTAAATTGCAGTAATGTGTTCTTTTCAATATTTAAATTTGCACATATTATGTTTATTTTTCTCTCATTTAAAGTAGCGCAAATGTATCTCTCAGCAAATATCCCTCAGTTTATTATAATTCTTTATATGGAAAGTTTCCTGACTCTTCTAATTCTTCAATGACATACAAAATATAATAGTAACTTTCCTATTTCCTTGTTTTCTTTTTGTCATAACGTCGCTTGACATCGTTGAGTCAAAATGTTACATACATGCGTATCATGGCTTATTAATTTTTATTAAATATAACTTTTATTAAATATAACTTTGTTAATTGTGTGTTCCTACCGTTGTCTACATTACATCATTGAGATAATATGAGGTATATACGTTTTATTTAATTTACATTCTCTCTAATCTAATTTACTAAAAATGTACATCGTTAATCTAATTTATAACGCAACGTTAATGTATTATTTATTATTCAGATGGTAGAATTGCGAAAAGTGAGATTTGATCTCTTTGATAGTTTTACATATGGACCGCATTTTATGAATATAACCAAATTCTCACTGGACGTTATAATTTAATCGAATTTCTGATAATATATGTAAGAGGTTTTGTTATTTTACATTGAAAATGACCCGATCGGTGTCGAAAAGTTTGAATATTGTACCAATATACGTTTATTAAAGATCTTATATTATAATTGGCTCGTTGCCCTTCTTTTATTTATTGATTTATAATAGTAACGTTTTAATATTATTTTTGTAATATTAAACTAATGTTACTCGTTTTTAAGAAATCTAGAAATATATATATTTTTAGTAAATTATTATTAAAAGTCAGAATAGACTTTTTAAATCAATTTTAACAATATAAGAAAGAAAAGCGTTTTTTTGCACGTGTAATAGTTCTTTTGACATTTATACAGTCTTTAATTTACAGTCATGGGTAAAGTTTTGTGTTATAACTTTATTTTATACGTTATGTCATATTTTATTATGTTTTTATAGTTCGTTCCAAATGAATTCCATATTTAGATTTATTTAAATAACGTATTGACATGGTTTCTATTAAATGAGTGGCATTAATTGCAATATCCCCTATTTCAAAACAAAGCTGTTAGTTGATCGTTTTCGTGTTAAATTAATGCAAATCAGCTACAAATTTAATAGTGCACACTATGAACGCATAGACTAAATTACATGACGTAAGACAGCAACAAACTGGTAAGTTGCAACCTAAAGTATTTACCTTGCATCATTGTTCAAAGTTATACCGAATTACCAGTGTATTTATACTACTTCGGAGAGATGATGAGATATAAATATACTACTGGAAGATACTATTTTTTACAGCATCAGGAATCTGTATGTACAATACGATATAGTAAATACTATATACTATATTTAACAAATCTTTAACATTATTACCCACCAGATTTATTACTAAATTAATTAAGAATGGTATATGAAATATTAATCAAGCTATAATGCTATTATTTTTTCTCTTCTTATATCATAAAGAATTATAAATATAGCTACAAATATAGACAAAATAAATTAATAATAAAAATTCAAAATGTTCACTAGACGTTTTTATTCCGATTGATTGTGGTGATGTAGGAGGGTCGTTTGAAAAGTTTTGAGCCTCAACATGAAAATGGCATTACTCGTCAAAATCAATTCTGGTACTAGGGGAACCTGGGGTATAATGAAACCATGGGGTATAATGGAATGTACTCGATATCTTTTTATAGATATGCTAATATGTAATGAATTGTCAGACAATAGTTACTGTTAGATGTATCTTATTATATATTGTTATTAGTTGTCATATTATTTTTCCCTGAAAATTGCTGAAAATTGTTTAATGTATTCGCTTTACTGTCCGCGAATGAGTTACAGATTCTTTGGTATGTTCGCATAAGGTAAGCAATAACAAAATTCTATTTTTTATTGTCATAAGTACATTTATCTAATTATATAATCTTTTCTTGTTACTTTAGTAAAATCTATACAAATATATTGATTATCTGTGATATTTTATATTATCTAAATTTATGTACCTCGAAGCATAATGGTGCACTGATGTTATTTTATGTTTAAAATGAGTTTATGATTCATGTGCAAGTGTAGATAAAAATGATGAGAATTGTTTTATTTGTGTTATCTTCTTAAACATTTTTATTTATGTTCAATATAATAACAGTATACCTTGTATAATGTATCATTCAGCATCACATATAGAATTATTAATAAAAAATTAAAAATTAAAAATGCAATAATGTATTTTTACTTATATTATATGTTCTAAGTCACTTTTAAGCAATGTTCAATATTAATTTTTTAAAAATAGACAAGTTTTCTATTGTGGTGCCCCATTATGCCCTGCATAAATGACATAGTGAGGTTACGACACACTCTCACAAAACAATAATTTCGTCCTGTTAATCTATACTTTTACAGTAAAACTTAAGTTTTCCTTACAGTAAATACTTCAAAAAATATTTTAATATTATATATAACAAAGTTGATTTATTTATCTTTAATATGTTTAAAACTTGAAAAAATCTAACTATAACCATTATAACCCAGGTTATCCTACAATCGTACATGTTTTGAAAGATACCAGTGAAAATTGGAAATTTTCATGTTGAGGCTCAAAACTTTTCAAACATACGATCCTCGTATTTATAGATTAGTATATTTTTATAAAAATCTCTTTATTGTTATGTTATACAGGAAAAACTATGCCGGGGATTAGATTTTTAAATAAGATGTGTACTGCTACCTGTGACTGAATTTATAATTGTAATTTCTTATATTACCTACACAATAGAACAAATTACTGTAAAGTATGAGACTGACATGCTGAAGATCTGAAATGAGAGATTTATTTTGTATACACACGGAAGTAATCAAATTCTACTAATTGATCACAACTAATTGAAGTAATTAATTACTGTTGCAAAACCTTCCAACGATGGGATAAATATGCCACCCACGGATATGGCAGTACCTTTAATGGTTTGTTGCATCATGAATAATAGTAACTTTTGTGCATGGAGTGGAGCGTCATACCATTGTGACACATATCTATAAATACATGAACACAATAATTAATATTGTGTTTATATAGTCTAATATAACTTTTACACATTATAATATATAAATAAAATGCAATGTATATTAAAAATGTACATATTTCACGTTTTACATTTTATCTTTTCAATTTGGTGAATAAAATCGCCAGTAAACAATTATATATGTTACAATTAATTTCAATATTACATCTTGTATAATATAAATAACATTAAATTTTGTTGTTGTTGTTATGAGAAAGCGTTAAAATTTTTTTATCTATTAAACTAGCAATTTATTGTAACTTGCAACAACAAATTGCTATATACAAAATACTCACATTTTGTAAAATACATCTGTACTCTGATCTATTAGTTTCTGGCTAGTGTAATTGCCAAAAAATATATAACAAATATGACCAAGAACGAATAATATGGCGGTAATACATTCTTCTGAATTGGACAGATATTGTGTAGCTAAAAAAAGCTGATGATAAGAAATTAGATATGCTTTATAATCTTACAATGATTAATCGTATATACAAATATTGTAGAATAACAAACTTACACGAAGTAAATTAACAGTTAAAGAAGTAACTCCCAAACAAAGTAAGAAAAAATATGAAATAACAAAGCCAGATCTCAAAAACTCGACGAATCTTGAATAAGACAAATACTTTGATAATAAATTGTATCAATGTATTATTTTTATTATAATTATATCAATAAAATAGTATTAATTTTTTATTGCAATATAATAATTTTTGAAAATAAATTATATGTTTTGCACGCTTATATTCTTCTAGTGAAAGTTAATGTTAATTGAAACATTAAATATATTTAATTGAATAAATGCATGTTTCCTACAACAGATAATACTTACATAGTAAAGAATATCATGCTCTAAAATAAATGCAAGTTTTGAAAAGATACTAACTGTGTAGCTCTCCTGTGAATGTGAATAGCGCTTATTATTTTTGTACAATATGGACAACATCTTTTTGATGTCATTATACTGAGTACTTCGTCAAACACATGTTCTATTCTGTAACTAAAAAATCTAATGTGCAAAAAATTAACTTTTCTCATATTATATGTAAAATAAATTAAATTAACTTTGCCTAATGCAGAATTATGTTGTGAAACGATAGTAGAGGAAAAGGTAGTATTATGGCACCCCATTTACATATTATACAATAACTTGGTTAATAATCAATAATTAAATTTAAATCTTAACGATTACATTCATCAAAGTGTTGTTCAATCGAGACTCAAAGTTACGAAACATTTATTACTTATAGGACACTATTTATAAAAATGTGACATTTCATAATGGCTCGAAAAAAAACACGAGTGATAATGTAATCTTCCACAGAAATAAATTTAAAAAATTGGTTTTGTTAAAAAAAATAGTGATTGATTACAAAATTAATAAAAAGTAAAATATTGCAATGTATGCAAATGTATATACATCACATATAATTCCTTCCGCATACAAACTTTTTCTATACTATTAATCTACTGCAAATAATTATTTTGATATGAAAATCGAGAGAGAGAGAGAGAGAGAGAGAGAGAAAAGTCGTCAGTAATCAGCACGCGTAAAATGCCATGCTACTGTCTAATTTTATTACATTACTTGAATTATACAGTCAAATAAAATGTTAAATAACAAAGAATACATTCAAATATATATGTATATATTCATGTAA